TTCTTGAAGATGTATGTTACAAAGCATGTTGACAAAGTACCAGGTTTGTTGGATATGTATTGCAGCATCATCAACCAAAGAAAGAAAACGGACAGTGCAAAACAGCTGGCTAGTTGATTACAGAAGAGTAAGTTTTGATTCTATCTCTAATTTGAAAGAATTGTTGGTTCCTGTTGCTATGTTATCTATGTTGACATTTTGAGCCCCAAATGATGGGGTCAGTTTGTCATTTTGAGAGAGACCTATGGGTAGCTTATAACACAAGCCTGATTTGTAAAAATATAATGACTATGGTTTTCCTACATTTGCAGGTCTTCCCCTGTTCTAATTGACTGCTGCTACTCCTTGATGCTTGCATCAAAGTAGAACCTAAACTAGGCTTTAATTTTATTTCTATCCCATGTAAAGTTGCTCATGATGCAACTTCCAAAAGGTTGGCAAACTGTTCACTTCAAGAAACCAGGGATGGCTGCAGAAGAAGTTTTCAAGGAGTGTGAGGCAGAACTGCTCCATGCTGCTCACAACCTCCATTTTCTCCTTGGTTCATTACACTTTTGCCAGACTGCTTTCCAAGTGAAGAAATGTCACATAAAATTCAGCTAAGGTGGGTGGAGAGTACTGACTGACTTTTTAACCCAAGGTCTGTTCTTGGAAGATTCCAATTTGTTGAAACAATACGTTTTTGAATTTTGATGTGTAGTTTACCATATGAGGTTTCTTCTTTTGACATCTTGAACATAGTTTTCACATTGAAATTATAGAGCTAAATTGTCAATTGATTTGCGTTGTCTTTTACTTTTTGTTGATTTATCTTTTCCATTTTTAGGTTAACTAAAATGACTGTTTGCTCTTTTGTGGATTGCCTTGTTAGAGAAGGCCCAATTTTTTTTTTTTTTATAGTACATCTTATAATGGGATATCTAAGGGAGAATAGTCCTCCAATTTTGCTAAATCCTTTCCCACCTACCAATTTAAAATTTTAAACTCTTAATCAGTTGAATTATTTCTTTAAAGCATTTTATTAGAGGAGAAAACCACAAGAAAACTTAGAAACATATTTGCAATACAAGGCGAAGGGTAAGGGTATGAAACTGTCTCATTAATCTACTAGGCAAGGGTTGAATTACTTATGAGACGGTACTAGTACCGGCTTGAAGCATTTTTATTCCTTGAACTAGTAGCATTTCCAGTGCAAAAGCTCTACCACTTAAACAGAGGAGTACATATCTTTGGGGAGCCACCGCAGAGCATCATTTCATTGATGACAGCTGATATGTTAGGCATTTGTAGGCCTAGGGCCATTAGACCAATTCAGTGAGCTTTCTTACCGTCCTTTGTACCAAAAAAATATAAGTTTTCGTTTCTTCGAGACATTGACATTATGTCTCATTGAATGGATATGGCAATCTGTGCATTGTTCTGTCAAAATTTAAATGACGTCAAGTTTGCATTTTAATGGTATAGAAACAATTGACATTATGTCATGAGATAAACTGTGTCTTGATTATTGATCAAGCAATAATCAAGACAGGTTCCACCAAGAAAAGTTTCAGGAGCTTGAAAGTGCAATTCAGAACA